AAAAATGTAACGTTAACATTTTCTTTAAATGCGTTCAAATATAGAATTCTTAAAACACGGTTTATGTAAATTTGACATTTTAATTTTATCTAAATCATTAAACAACTTTTAAAAAATGTAAGAATAACATTTTCTTTTAATTGAATTTAACACTATAAATATATTAATTTAACATGAACTTTACTTCCAGATAAGATTACTTTACTTCTGATTAAGAGAGTGTTACATTTTTGTGTTAATTTTTCACATATTATTTGTGTTATTTACTTACATATCTGTTAAATTAACATTAAAATTAGAATGGATAAATTAAGACATATGAAATATGTTAAACTTCCACAAAATTTTTTATTGTGATTCGAAACAGAGTAATAGCGACTCAAGGAGAGTCGTTTACCTGTTTTCGAGTCTTAAAGGTTCGTTTCCTAAGGTTCGACCCGAGTCTTCCTAGTGTGCAATTTCCGGATAATATCATTGTTAACCTCTTCCCTTGATTCCATCCTTCTCCTGGGCTGGACGAAACACTAGCAATAAGAAATGTGTACTTTTTTTTCTTGTTCACATCGAAGAAAGTAATGCATGTCGAGTGCTAGAAGATAACTTTTGTGCGTTCACATTCGTGATTTGTTATAGATATACATATAACAAGTACATAAACGAAATTAGTGATACGAAAATAAATAACATCCGTTGCAAGCTTTTTCGTAAATCGTTAAATTTTTCGAGATGGCTACGATAATGCATTTGCCCGACAAAGTAATCGTTATTTTGAAGAACAAGAGCATTGACATAAAAGATATTTTGAGCTTTAAGTCCACCTGTAAAAGATTAGTACAGATAACGCTAAGCAACGAGTTTTGGAAAGAGAAATATTGTCAAAAGTACGTTTTCACTCGTAAGTTTCTTATATTAATTTTTTGCATTTATTTCACACTTGATTAATATTCATCGCTTAACAAAGTACTCTCTCAAAAACAATAGTCGAGAAGTAAATTTATATTATTTCTTTATTAATTCAAGTTATGTTTATTAGTTTATTGCATAACTCGTTAATCTTAATATGTTTAAAAACTCGAGTCATAATAAACATCGTCGATCAGTTTCAAATTATGTAATTCATAAAGAAAACATTTTTGCGTTAGTGATTCTTGAGTCATTGTTATCGTTAAATTAAAATTTCAACCTTTCTTTATCTAGATCCTATTATTATTATTTTATGAACATAAAAGTTATCGTGTATCTTTATTATCATCTTATTTATTATTACAATTGTTTTTGATTAATGCTTAGGAATGTATTTTTTATATAAATTATTTCAAATCATTCAAAGCATAAGTTCGAAAAAAAAATTTTTTACATAACAGATTTTTATTTCTATTATTTCGATTTTTTTTACTAAAAAGTAATATATTTTATAATGTAAAACTTAAAATTATAATGTTGTGACTATGTTGTTATTTTTTAATATTCAAACTTTAAAATATGTTTTAATACACGATTATGTATAAATAACTATTTACATATTAATATTCAAATAAATTAATATTCAAAATTTTTATTTTTACATTTTTATATATATTCGTTTTACTTCTATAATATTTTTTTACTTTTCATAAATAATTATATCTTTGAAATATAATCTTAATTATTTTCTTAAAATTTTCTATTCATATTTTATGGTTCGTACAGCTTTATAAAACATTGTGTGCAATCAAATTTATCTCTACTAGTAGCTTGTAAAGATTAAATATTTCTATTTTTTATTCTTGTTTATTACAATAACTTTTCAATTTTTATTTTTATTTTAACGGCATGTGCAGAATCAAAATATCCTTAAACATTTAATTTGCTCGCTCGAGCAACTTTATTATTTAAGTATGATTTAGAATAATAAACTTAATATATTATTTAACTTAATATATTATAAGTTGTATATTGCTGATTTTATAACGTTAATTTTAATATAATTTTTAAGAATTTTCTATCTGAATTTTAGATATTCTACAACTGCGAAAAGATATAAGATGCTGAAAAAATTTTTTAACCATTTAAAAATTGAGGAACAAGTAAAATCAAGAATACAATGTATTAAAAAGTTACGACATTATGTATTAATGTTGGGCAAGAATTTTTCGAAAAACTGACAAAAAACAATTAAATTGTCTTTTACATTAAATAGTTGAAAATTCTATAGTTTATTATTTTGTTCGGGACGAGCTAAATGGAATTATTTCTGTAGAATTATTGCTACAGAGTTCTCAAGAATTATTTTGGTAAAATTTAGTAACCTAGATAATTATTAATATTATACAAATAAAAAATAATTGTCTTACGATTAATATATGAAATTTTTTCAGGGAGCTCGATCCCAATTATTTGACAAATAAGTACTGTTTTGACATAATCTTCTTCTGTCTAAAACAATATCGATTCCTGTACAAGCAATCCAAATTTCTAAATAAGCCGAAGGAAAAGCAAATTATGGAACGACAACTTCTTATTGTAGCTCAATATTTTGAACCACAAGTGCCTCATTCGGTGATAAATACATGGCTAGATGATATTACGCAAGAAGTTTTATCTCGTCTTAAACATAAGTATCCTGCATTCGATATTCTCCATTCCGTTGGAGCAATTTTCTTTTTTGGGAGATAACAATATCTCTGAAAATTTCTGAAATCCAACAGAAACATCGCAAATTATACGTATAATTGGAGAATATATATTTTCTGATTTAGAGATTCATAAATTATATGAATTATGGATGATATCAAATCTTGAAGTCGAGTTAAATAAACAGTAGGTAAGTTTCATTTTGGATTATGTTAACCTACAATAATAATTTTAACTATTACAATTTTAACTATTACAATTTTAACTATTACTTGAACTATTATTTGAACTATTACAATTTTAATATTTTAAACGTTTATTTCCTAAATGTTGTATAATTTTTTAAATATAATTTCTTACTTTTTATTATTATTTATTACTTTAATATATTTTAATATAATTTATTTTAATTATAGACTCTAGCTCCATAGAATTATATTAACGATTATATATTTTATCGTAACCAGAAGATTCATAAAGGACTTTATTCTGAACGTAAAAATATTACATTTACTAGAAGATAGCATAGGTTATAAAAATAAAGAGCTTCAATTTATATGGAAACCGAAATAGTAAGCATAATTTTATCTTTCAAACTTCCTGGATTTTGTTTATATATATATATATATATATTTTTTTTTTTTCTGAGCAAGTTTATCTTAATAAATTTTAAACATAAATAATAAAATAAATAAATTTATATTTAAAAAATTACATACAATTGTACATACATATGTATTCAAAGGATTATATGGTTTTACGTTTTTAATGCATCATTATACTTGTATAAGAATGCGAGCGCATCAGTCAATTATACTCATTATTTTTTTTTAAATTAGCATACGTTACATAATAATTTGTTTTATAAAAATTATTACAATTTTATAAAAAATTATATTTTAACATATATGTGCATAAATGTACGTATAATATCTTTTTCTATTATTTTCAGTCAAATACATTGGTATGTTGACGAGTATTTACGTGTGGAAGAGGATTCCGATTTATGGTGTACGTTACATATTGATGAAGGTACACACGATTTTGTAATCTCATCAGAGACATTTGACAACACTCTACGACAAAAAGAATTTCGTATTTGTTTTTATCGTTTTTTTTTGCATCTAATAAAAATAGCATTTAATTTTATAAGGTTAAATAATATATTAAATCAACGAGTAAATATGTATATTTTATAATAAATGAATAAAAAGAAATAAATTTTACTTTTATTTTCATGCTCCAATCGAAATTTTGTTTACTATATCCGTTTTATTTTTTAGATAATACTAGGATAATACAAAGCGTGCGCTTCGGGCGCGTCTCTTCTTTTTCATTATACATTTTAATGATATATGCACAAAATCGCATATGTCATAAAATAATATTAATATAATTGCAATCGCTGCGAAAGAACTTCAGTGCAACAAGAATACTTGTCATGTCAAGAATTTTTGAATTAAAGTAAATTATATAATACAGACGCTTAACAAATATAATAGTGTGAAGAATAAAAACGTTTTATCAAAAGATAAAATTAAAAATGATGACACAAGAAAATAATGGTAAAGCATCATGATGTCGAATGTACAAATCGAAACGTTTATATTATATAATTTATTTCAAAAATTTTTGATACAAATACTTTATTGTGATATATTAACTTTATATATAACAAAGTTTTTCGAACATTATTGTTCTTGGTATTATAATTTATATATTATATATTGATACTATAAGCTAAACAATACACATTATCCCCTGCAAAAATCACCGTTCGCTTTTAATAGATTTTACAAGATATGTATACAAAACTTTCTTCACGTATTCATCAGCTCATCAATATCTGTAAATTACAAATGGCTTTCAATTCAAAATTAAGTCCTATCTTTTTCTACTAATTATGAAATTTATTTCTTAGATTTATTATTATATAAGTAGGTTACGTTCTGCCACATCGTCCATCCGTTCGACAACAATATTTTTATATATATATTTTTTTATAACATTCATATATTATTACATTTATATATAATATATTATTACATTTATATATATATATAATATATTATTATATTTATTATTACATTACATATAATATATTATTACATTTATTATTACATTACATATAATATATTATTACATTTATTATTACAATATATTACAATATATATAATATATTATTACATTTATTATTACGTTACATATAATATATTATTAGATTGATATATTATTTTTTTATAACATTAATATATTATAATTTAAATGTATTTGCTGCGTTATTTTTAGCATCTATGGCAAAATTTATGTATCCAAAATCGTGTCGGATTGCTTGAAATGCGGATATTCTACAATTCGCAATTGTAATTTTAAATAATACTAAAATATTTCATAGATTTATGTTTTATTGAATTAATTAACGATTACAGTTAATTAAGGATTACCTCGAGCATATCTATTATTAAAGCTTAACATCCATCTATTATTTTAACATAACATTATTCTATCGCTGTAACATTTGTTTTTATTATTTAAGTTCTCTCTTCTTGTCTTTTCATAAATTTTTTCATATACGAGTTTTAGCGCATCCTTTACTCATATATAATCTAAAAAGGAATAAATGGAATACGGTTCTCAATTTCATTCACTGCAGATTCTGCTGATCAGTGCACGGTACAACTTCTTCAGATTCTTGAAAAAATATTTTTATAAGTTATTGTACTCGACTTCCCTTATTATGTAAATTGAAATTTAATCTGTACCGAATCACTCTTTATACTATACATTTCTATTATTTTAATAGCTATGTTTTTGTTATCTGCCTTTTATAAAATAATAATAAATCTGAAGCTTTATAAAAATTATGTTGAAAACCAATTTTATTACATGTGAAAATAACAAGGTCATATGATCATTTTCTTTTGACAAACATTAAAGATCTTTCATTGTCAGAAATAATAATAGATTTTAATCCTCGTTTTTATAGATAAATATACTGCCAAATTGATGACACTGTCAAAATTGGATCCGTTGTCAATCATTTCAGTAGTGTTTATGAGTGTTTTTGACGTTTCAGCCAGCGTCGCAATGAGATGTCCGCAAAATGACAGATATAAAATTCCAATTAATCTCATCCATGAATGATGGAAACGAAACAGATAACTCGAGTGCCATTTGGAGTAGCGGAATATGCATGTTAACGACAAAGAAGCAAAAAATACGCGAACATATGCGTAAAACTGCATTTTATATCCTATTTATATTATTATATTAAAATGAACTTTTATTATTTTTACTGGAAGAAAAAGATACGGAAAAGACACATATGAAAGTTGGATGTTACACATTTTAGTAACATATACCTTCAGTAATATATATGATTGACGATGATCATTATTTTTACGTAACATTTGACGTAATATTTAAATTCTCTCTCTTCATGATCTTGAGAACTCTTTCGTACACGAGTTTTGGCGCATCCTTGGCCCATAAAAAGTCTACGTGATTAAACTTGGGCCACGATACCTCATACATATCCACTACGTTGGGCAGTAAATGATATAATCTCCTTACATCCTTCAAGAAATATTTTTTTAAGTTATCATACGCAATTCTCCTTAAACTATCTTCCCCGATTATACGCACAAAAATTGATACGCAGCCGAATCATTCTTTATTTTATACATTTTCATTATCTAAAAACACCCACTTACCTCTATACTGATTAACCAGTCATTGGCGGAGTAGAGCAACGCGATTGGTACAGTGATGTTCGCTAATTTGTAGCTCGGAGGTTCCACCGAGTGATAGATCAATAGATTTTTCGCATGACCGTAATCATATTTACGAAACTTGCCTGTTTGAAGTGCCTGAACATAGTGTGCTATCATCTTAACCGAAGTGCCGGCGGGATCGTGACTCACGATGACAGGCTCTAGGGCCTAAGAAAAAAATAACAGGGATATATAAAGATTGATCTGAAGCGTAGTCGTGCGAATTGGAATAACATTGTAACAGTTACATGACATGTAACGGTTATATTCTTGAGTGGAAAATTATAAATAACGATTATATAAATGTCACTTTGCTGGGTAACCTTCCAGATTTCGATTGTGATGGAATTCTACGACCAAAAGTTTTGCTGAATATTATTATAAATATATATTATATATATTACTCACGTAATTAAATTGCTTGTAGTCGTAACCGAATATCGTAAAAATTATATTGGCACAGATATTCTTGGTGAAACCGTGGGTGCAGCCGTACTTTGCAAGTAATCTTACAAAATCGCTCGGCAGAAATTCGCCATGAAAGAAAAATTGTACCATTCTCTGCAATTGAAGATATCTTTTAATTATAATATAATTTCCTTTTCATTATTTGATTGAAATTTATTTTAAAAGAGATTTTTAGAAGATTAGTATTTTGAGAATTAAATAATTGATATCTCTTCTCTTGATTTATATTGTTTATGTTACATCAATACTGATATAACATATATATTATATTAAAATATAATATATTATTAATAATAATTTATAATATATTATTTATATTAATGCAATATATCAATTAACATATTAATTTCCAATAATTATTATCTTATATTAATTAAATATATTAAATTTATTGTTTTATATATATTTTATAATATATTAACTTTCATGTAAAAATATTTTTAAAAATAATGAATCTCATGTGTTTCACATATAATTTATCATGGAATTATATAATAGCATTATAAAATTTTTTTTCGTTTCAACACGAATGAATATTATTTTAAAATTATTTTACATCGATAAATTATTCTTTAACAGTATTCGTATAAATTACTTTACCTTAAGCCCTTTCCAAAAGGGAACCAAGAATCGTATCGGGCTTTGCATGTGGCTTACAAAGGCTGTCGGCGCGAGGCTGATCATCATTTGCACCATTCGAGCGATTTCCGGACGTTCTGATGCCATCACGTAAAAAGTAGTTGTGCCCATAGAATGACCAATGTACGTGTGCAACGGTTGCGATCGCATGTTGGTGATAAATGTAATCATCGCGGGTAAATCGTAGATGCCGAGTTCGTTAAAGCTAGTTAAAAATTTAAACGATATATCACAAAATATATAAAATATATAAATAATATGTAAAATATATAAATATATAAAATATATAAAATATACTGAGGAAAAAATTATCTTGAAATAAAAAAATTTTAGTTAACTCAAGAAAGCTATTTATTCGATGGGCATTAATCACGTATTTACTTGTATTCAAAACGTCTGTTTGCTTAAGTTAAGTATTTACAAATGTTTCAAAAAATATACATGCTAAAAGAATATAATTTTTAATTAAATATTTTTATTTTAATTTTACAAAATATTTATTAAAATGCATTTTTTATTCCCAAAAATTTTAAATTTTTTAATTTAAAAAAATAATATATTTAATTTAATAAATTATAGTATATATTTTACGAAAATAGTATTTAAATATAAAAAATATATAAATGAAAATAATGTACTTAATATAATGCATATTTAATTAAAATTAAATACTTTTGTTTAAATGAAATAAACAATTCCTTGCATTTAAAGTAAAAGTTTCAAGAAAACAAATTTATTTGACTTAAAAAAATTTTTCCCTCAGTATAAATATGTACGCTATCACACATATACGCACGAAGAAAATAAATACATTATATAATACATATGTATATAATATATAAAATGTTTCATAGGAACAGAAACTGAAATTTTGCACAAAGAATTATTTATATCAACAATAAAAAAAATAAAAAATACATACATTATATTGGCGCCATAAAATGTAAGATATTTTTAATGATGCATTTTCGAAAAAAAATAAGTTAATATATATAAAATTTAACAATTCCTTGCGTCTTACGTTAAACTAAAACAAATATTGTAGCAATTATTATTATCTTATTTTTATAATACCATTATTCCTCTGCTAGTACCTAAAATCCCAAAATGTCGAATTCGACGGAGATAGGGAAATGTGCGCCCTAGAGTAGGTATTACCACGAAAATTTCCCAACCAGACATCGTATCCTTGGTCCGCTAATAAATAAACTAAAATTCGGAAGAAGAAAAACATCCTTTGCAATATTTATTATATTTTTTCAATCAATAAATAGGACTTTCAGTAATGTAATATAATATAAATATTAAAACAAACTAAATAAATAATAATCACGCGATAAAAAGACAAAAATAAAGACAGTTGCAAAGTTCATATATTTCGTTGTATTTTTTTTCATGTAACATCATATATAATTTCAAATAATAAATAAAATTATAATATATAATATAATATTAAATTTCATATTTTTTTCTGTAGCATTTTCGCAATCAAAGTAAAATGGTCTCAAGAATCTCTCAATTAAAAATGATTGATTAAATTCGTACCGAGTGCTTTGCCTTTACCAAGAATAACCCAATCGGCGGAGCTGCCTAAAAGACCGTGCTGTAGCAGTACTGGTACAGAATCGTTTCTACCTGGGATACGATGTAATGTCAAAAGATAGCCGTCCTCCGTCATTATAACGTGAGCCTCTGCGGGATAACCTGCTCTTCTAATCATCTCCAGCTATCGAAAAAATATAAAATTGATTTAATAAATGTTATTAAAATAAATTTAAAATAATTTTATTAAAATAAATTTGTGCGACAAATTGCATGAGATATTTAATTTCTAAATAATGAAGAATGTCTTTTGTACATTAAATATAAAATTCTAATCTGCTGCTCTTGCTCTCTCTTTCCCTTTCTAATAAATACATATGAGAAGCAATTATGTAATAAAAATGGCAAATAATAATAAAATATTTAGAACAAAATTAAATAATTTAAATAAACACACATAATTATAATTTGTAGAAACTAGAAAGCAAAATTTTTTACAATTAGCATAATAAAGTATGATACTCTGCAAAAATTATTTTAAAACAAATTTTAAAGTATTTAAATTTTGAAAGGATTCTTCTTCTTATATTGTTATTTATTTTTTTAAACCACTGAACTTGAAATAGTTGTAATAATTTTATTATATTGATAGAACTAACAATAGAATTTAAAATTTTAAAAAGTAAAAAGATTTAAAAAAAAGACTTAAACACTAGATGTTAATGGTTATATATAATTTTATAAAAATTAATTTTTAACTTTAATATAAGACAGCGACAATAAAATAGAGATATGAGATCGTTTTTAATAATTCTTTGCCAGTATTAAAAAGAGCTAGTCGAAATAAGAAAATTACAATACTCATTTCAATAAATTATAAAGATATATTTACCGTGTTAAGAATAACATCAGGATTAAATTTGGCGTTGCTCGATCGTTTCCTATTAGGCGATATTAATCCCTTCATGAACGTAATTGGATCAAAGACCATATCTGCTGGCACCACATCGAGACCGTAAAAATATAGCAAATATACGATTCCAACCAACCTCATTGTATAGATGAGAGATTCAATAAACAGTAAAAAGAGAGATGATATGCCTTTCACGGCATTTACTGCTGGAATGAATCATTCTTTTATTCAAGATCACTTTTTATCAGCTGAAAAAAAGAAGCACTATCGCGTTATTAGTCACACGATTATAGAACATTGCAAAATACATATGTAGAAGATAGATTGTCGAAAGTATAGTGTAAAACAAAAGGCATATAAAAGTAACTCTCGTACGCTATACAATAATCTCGTAATATTTTTAATCATTCCAATTATATTTTTATCTGCTGTTTTATACAAAATTGTCGCTAACTCTTTATCTAGTTCAGAGAAATAAATGCTTCTCCCTGTTTGAACATTTTTCTTTCTATGTCTGTCGTACCCCATCATTCGAAAATTTCTTCAAAGACTGAAAAGTGAAAGTTGGTGTTCAAAACAAGATTTTATAATTGTAATTGTGATGCAATTTATTTTAACATCTATATTATTTTAATTTATATAATTAGATATATAATTATGTACAAATATATACAATTATATATACAATTATTGTAGGAAATATATACAATTATAGCAAAGAATTATATAGAATATAATATAATTTCGCTACGATCCTTTCCTCCCATCATCGCAATGAATCTAAAAATTCACTAAACCGATTGTTTAAAAGTAAATCTAATTCTCTGCTAATTCTAATATTTTATAGATACATATTTTGAAATAAATTTCATTATACTAGCGATTACACCAATCGTATCCATTATTATAAAGACTTAACGCGTAACATTCATCTTTTATTTTGATTATTGATGTGACATTATTTGAATTTTCTCTCCTCATGATCCTGAGAACTCTTTCATATACGAGTTTTGGCGCATCCTTAGCCCATAAAAAGTCTGCGTGATTGAAATTGCGCCATGGTATTTCGTAAATGTCCACTACGTTGGGCAATTCGCGGTAGATCCTCTCTACATCCTTGTAAAAACATTTTTGTGAATCATAACATGCAATATTTTAAATTATATTTAAAATTATAACATGCAATATTTTAAATTATATTTAAAATTATTCTCTCAATATTATGTACAAATTTTTATGTGTATGATTTGTACACAATTAACATAAAATAATCGCTACATATTTTTTTATGTTTATTATATCTTTATTTTTATTATCTATTTTTTCATTATTTACCATGATGTTATCCAGCAAGTCGCCAGGGCCATAAAATAACGCGATCGGGATCGTTATATTCGCTAGATTGTAGTCCGGAGGTTCTATCGAATTATAGATCAATATGTTTTTCGCGCGACCATAATCATAATGGCGAAACTTGCCCGATTGGAATATCTGGGCATAATGCACCAGCGTATTAAACGAATTGCCGGCCGGGAAATGACCCACGATGAGGGGTAGCAGAAGCTATAAAAAGCAGACGAAAGCTAATAAATAAAACTAATATAAAACATATATACAAATCTAATCTAAAAAGTGTGATAGCGCTGATCGAACATGATGATCAAAGCTTCGATCATGATATAAAGCTGTACTTTGAATGGCATACATACATTCGCGAAATTATTACTCACATAATTAAACTGCTCGCGATCGTAGCCCCAGATTATAAACATCACGTCGGAGCAGATATCTTTGATGATGTTCTGATCGCAGCCAAATGTTAAAAAAGACCTTACGAAATTGCTTAGCAGAAATTCGTGAAAAAAAAATCGCATTATCATCTAAAATAGAAGATTTCTTAATGATAATTTACTTGTAATTTTGTTTTTCTTCAGATTTTGACGGTAATAATAAAAAATAAATGAATAAATTTTTAAGCATTTTCTTTTATAAAATTGAAATAATTTATAAAAGTTTCTTTAATTATAATTTTAAATCATCGAAAAATTTCTCGTTAAAATTAAAAATTACAATTATGGCATTCAGAAACAAGATATAAAGTGCTAAGAAGATATTTACATTTGATCTTTTCTGCATTTTTTCGGAAAAATCGAATATAGATATCTTCTAAATTTTATTCAAATAATCAAATGCACATTTTATAAAATAACTTTCTTAAATCTTTCTTAAATATACAATGTATATAGAATGTAGTATAGTTCACGTATTATTTTTAATGACAGAGAAAATTGTGTGTTAAATTTTTTAACATATGATTTTAATTAATCACGAATTAAATATTAAAATAAATTTATATTAAAATAAATTCCATTCACACTATAATATTATTTAAAAATGTAATTTGTATTCTTTGACTACTTTTGCATCTGATTAAAGAATTATTTATGTCCCGCTATTTTTTCACTTTAAAATATATCGTTTATAGTGTGTATTGCATTAGTGTGTAAAAACGAGATGTAAAATAATTCCTTTTTTTTTCATTTGCCAAAAATATATTATTTTATATAGTTATTGCATAGTAATAAATTATTTTAATTAATCAATAGTGTCTTACTTTACCTTGTAATCTTTCAAGAAAACCAAATATTGTATCGGACTTGTTATATAGTTTACAAAAACTGTTGGTGAGAGGCTGATCATCGCTTTTACCATTCGAGCAATTTCCGGACGCTCCGTTGCCATTATGTAAGAACAAGTTGCGCCCATCGAATGACCAATAAGTGTATGCAATGGTTGTGATTTCATATTTGTAATATATGTAATCATTGCGGGTAAATCGTAGATGCCCAATTCGTTAAGGCTAATCAAAAATTCAACCGATATACAGTCATAAAATATGTAAATATGTACTAAATATAGTATAATATATAATATAGTATAGTATATAATAAAAATATATGCTCACATATATGTAATATAATGTATATATTTATATAATGTGACACGCGTCCTAAACAAACTACAGGCTATGATATTTTTGAATTTTTCATCTAAAAGTAAATATCTTTTTTCTTTAACATAATTTCCAAAAAGTACAACGTTTTCGACGTAAAATTATTTTTTATATGCCAGTATATAGTGCGTACAAAATTATAATAATTCTAATAATTAAATAAATATTAAAATTAATTCTCAGAAACTTTTTGAACATAAAGAACCAAGAAAATGCAAAATTAATACATTAATCTATTAAAAACTTATTTACTTTTATAATATTAACTTTATTATTGTTCGCAAGCGAGTCCGGCAGTGAATTGAGGAAGGTGCAAGATCGTCAGAGAAAAGAGTTTTGCCTTCGGTTAACAAAAGAACGAGACTTTATTAATGTCAAAGAATAAAGGTGACAAGTGTTCGGTGATTGCGATTCACAGTAAGCGCGCGGATAATCGAAGTCCAAAAGAATAGCGGTCGTTATAAGCGGTGTGAAATAGCGGTGTAGCAAAGCGATAAGTTCAAAAGAGCACGTCTTAGAAAAGCGCAAGACTTCCCCGTGCCCACGTGCGGTGCTCTTTATATAGCAGGCAGAATTTTCGGGCCCGTTGCAACGTGGGCCAATAGTTTTCGTATTTTGGCGGTGACCTCAGGGCGCCGCGTATTATTGGCCGCCGATGAGGTCAGGAGTTGAAGTTTTTACATTTGCCATGCGCACGATCTTTTTTGATCAGCTGATTGGCGATCAGCTGATCGTGACGTATGGGCGCGCATGCCCATATGTTGCTCTGATTTTGTCGACGGTTGACAATGTTGTTGTCAACGAGCATGATGAGTGTTTCTTGGTCATTAAAAAAAATAGAAACTAAATCGACCGATTGAGTTTTTGTAGCAAACAAACGTTTCGAGAAGTTTCTTTGACGCCCGTTAATTTTGAAACTTTGAATTTAATAAAATGATTTAATTCATCGATTTTAGTCACGCAAATTTGATTATCGAAATGCCGATTATGAGTTTGAACAATTATAATATTAATATATTAAAAGATAAGGCATCGAGAAAATGATTAATTTTCATTTATTTTCCTTTGAAAGAAATGCGTATCTTATTAACAAAAAATATAATTTATATATCTGTACTTTATCTATACTTTATATGTTATAATGTACTATGTAGAGATTATTTCTAGATTAATGCAATCTAAAATAATTGTAAACAGATATACAAGTAAATAAAATATATAATTGAATATATTATAAATTCATCAGATCTCTGTGTTTGACGCTAAATTAAATTAAACATTTATCATTATATTATTTTCCAAGTATCATTATTTTTCAACATGATAATTAAGAAACGAGCGATAAGAGCCTAAAAAACGCGGATGGTAATGCGTAAATTTTCAAACATTAGTTGTAATGCGTAAATTTTCAAACATTAGTTGTTCGCGAAATTTTTTTTTTTTTTTTTAAGACGTGCACGTTTTAAGGCATTTATACATATATTTTACTTGGTATATGTGCCAAGTTATAGATTCTCTTGGTTTGAGACTTCTATAACACCCTCTTTCCATCTCTGAAGAGATGCAGACAGGAAAAATATCGGGGCGAAAAATATCATTATTTTTATTTTATATGAATACCTGAAATCCCAAAATGTCGAGTTCGATGGAGATAGGGAAATATGCGCCCTGGAGTAAGTATTACCTCGAAAATTACCCAACCAAACATCATATCCGTGATCCGCTAGTACGTAAGCTAGAATGCAAAAAAAATAATATCTTGCAACATTTGTTAACATTTCTATCTTCTCATATAATATTCTTATGTATATTTTACATATCTTTATATGCTAATATTTTTTCAATAATAGATTAAGATTGAATTGATGTGTAATTTACTAATAATTATCTGAGAAGTTAAATTAAAAATTGTAAATATATAACATATGTAATTATATAAAATATAAGTATGTAAATAAATAAATAAATATACATATGTATAAAATCTAATAAATTTAAAAAAACTTCAAAAAATAAGATACATTAAAAGTATTATAATTACAGTGCATTAGCAAATTTTTTCGATATTTAAATTCAGGAGTTTCTCTTAAACTTCTTCTTCTAGCTTTTCGTTAAAAGTCAACAATATAATCTCTTATATATATATAAGGATTAATTAAAAGAACGTTACCTAATCCTTTCCCTTTACCAAGAATAACCCAAACAGCGGATGAGCAAAAAAAACCGTGTTGCAGTAGTACAGGTAGAGAGCTGTTACCACCTGGGATACGATGTAATGTTAAGAGATATCCATCCTCGGTCGTTGTAACATGAGTTTCCACGGGATAACCCGCTTTCCTTATCATTTCCGACTGAAAAAAGAGAATCAGTAAACAAAGAGTTAGTGAAATTGATCTAATGTTACAATACATTTACGATAAAATGATTATAATATTTATTCTTGAAATGATGAAAGAGACATTTTAAAAATAATAACATAAATATGAAATATTACTAAGTAATTAATATAAAGAATAATTATATATTATTATAATAACAAAAGTAAATACATGTGAGATACAGAACAAAATCAACTAAATATTAATCTAATTAAATGTATAATTATAAGTTGCAAAAATTATAAAAAAATTTTTTGTATGATTGAGTAAACTCAATAAAAAAACTATTTTAAAAGGAAACTATAAAAAATTATATTGTTATTTATCATTTTTATAGATCATTGTTATAGATCATTTTTACACCATTGCAATCAAAATGAAAAATTTTAATGATAAAATAAAGCAATTAAAAGGCACAAAGCGCAACATATTTATTATATCAATGATAATCAAAAGGTGAACGTTTTAGTCCCTTTGTAGATTTATTATATCAATAATAATCATAATAAAGACAAACATTTTGGTTCCTTATTTAAATTTCATCAACGCATAAATCGAAAGATAATTAAAACATTATTGTATGTTCAGAGACTTTAAAAATTAAACATAATATGTCGACAACAAACTATTCTACATTCATGTAAAAAAGACATATAGCGGGTATGTTATTAAACAAACATTACTCCAAGTCAATAATTATCATCAACATAATGTAGTCATGAGTGATAAACCTTGAACCGGAAATAAAATTAAAAAAACAATTAACAATTAATTTGTTCCAATAGTTCGTGTCAGTTCATGCATTTTATCGAGATAACAGTACAGTATAATAATTCACTCGATATATGCAGTAAAAAATAAAATTAAATACAAAATGCATACAAAATAAAATTAAATATAAAACTGACAAAAAGTAGCGACATTAAAATTAAGAGTATAAAAACTATAATATGTAATAAAACTATAATATGTCGACTAATGAAAACTAAGCCAACATATTTCCAAGAGGAAAGATATACGTTTTATAATTATTTTATATAAAGATAAATAAATATAAAAAAAGAAAGATATACGTTTTATAATTATTTTTAATAAAGATAAATAAATATAAGGATATTATGTATGTGTGTACAAAACATTTAGAAGAGAAGAATTTACAGAAGTTTATCGCAGTTGAGCAATATTTCAAAGATCAATGGAACAAAAACATTTGACGTAACACTACTTTAAATGCAACTATGTAACATTTGCATAGACATTATCGAATAAGATGTTGTTAATGTTTGCTTCAATTCTAATGATATACAAGATAAATTTAAAATATTCTTGAAAATGTACAGTTTTCGAAAGAGAATTAGTTCGAAAAATGATGTATTATCTTATTAAGATTGTCAACATTTATAAATGTTATAAAATATAATATCACTGACTGTCATTATTTATATATAAATAAAACTGCTAACTGTCTTCTATTAAGAGATATTTTACTTTCTTTGTTTTCTATATGCATTTAAAAATAAGCAGATTAATTTCAGCAATTTTTCTTTCTGTGTGCGTGTATGTGTGTGTGTGTGTATATGGGCAAGCATAACGTTTATATGCTCACAAATTTATTTAATATTTCACATATTACTGCATATTTTTAAAACAAAAGAATTTTATAATAATTAAACGATACCAACAATTGAATATTAAAACAGCTGTAAAAATTAAAAAACTATTTAAATATTATTACAGGCATAATTAACGATGATGTATATTTTGTGAAATTTAAATTCAAATTTTCAATAAAAGAGCGGCGATAAGATCGTTTCCAATCGTATTTTAACAACGTTGAAGAAAACTATTTAAATAATAAAAATTTCCATCCTAATTTCAATGAGTTGTAAAGCCACACTTACCGTATCGAAAACTACATCGCGATTGACTTTGATATTGTTCGGCCAAATCCAAGATATTCTTTCCGTGAATGTACTTGGCTCGCGTTGATTGACATCTATTAGTGTAGAGAGATAACAGCACAACACTATCAAATACACGGTCCCAATCAACTTCACACTATCCATCAGTAGTTTAGTAAATAATAAGAAAAAATGGACTATATGAAAATGTCGCGATGTATAGGAATACATATTATATTAAATTATATTATATATATTATATTATATTATATTATATATATTATATTATATATATTATATTATATATATATGTATATATAAATTATTATATATATATATATATATATATATATTTATGTATAGAGAGAGAGAGAAAGGAAGAGGGAAAAAGAGAAAATAAGTAGATCGTGCGAAAGTAAGAATACAACTGCGAGTAATAGTAATATTATATGCCATTTATTAATGCATCATCATTTTATTTCTCTACACATATATATGTATATGTATGCAGAGTACGTTTTATTTTATCGATCAATCTTTTTATTATGCAAAAAATTAGTGACGCATTTGATAATTGCTAATAATAAATTGATCTGTACATACACGTAGATATACGTCGGTCATCCGTACATACACGTCAGTCGGTTTAGATGAACCGTATCGAAGACCTAATATAATATATACAATTTCACTTAAATATATGCATTTAAATATATACAATTTAAAGTAAGTTAAGAGAATGCCGGAGTTCTGTTTCTATACATATTTTAATCGTGGAGAAACATTTATTATTCTGTACAACTAATAAAAAGATCCCGATACAAAAAGAAATATTCTAAACAGCACAAAGAGGCCAAAAGATGTCTTAAAGACATCTAGAAGACTTTAAGACGTCTTTAAGTCGTCTTTTAGATGTTTTTTAGACATGTGTGTCTGGAATGACATTTGAACGATCAAACAGGACCTCGGCATTCTCTTAAAAGCTGTGAATCAATTTATGTGATATGGATTTATTATTATTATTAAATATACGTAGTTATTATTATTATTAAACATATACATATGCATAATAATAATAATAATAATTATTATTATTATTAAATATATATTTTATTATATTTATTATTATACTTATTCGGTATATTAAAGAGATAAAAATACATAGACAAAAACATATAGATAAAAATATGTATTTAAAAATTCAGTTCAAATTTAACACTTTAACTTTTTATTTAAAATTTTAATTCAAATTCCGCATTTAATTTTATGATAAATTTTAATTATTGTTTTATATGTTGAAACTATGCAGCAAAATTGTCTTTTTTCTTAAAATAAAATTAAGCAATTATTCCATAAGAAATACATTTTTATAATGTTGTGAAATTTATATTTTAATTTTGAATATGAGAGCGACAATAAGATAGCGATATAAGATCGTTTTTAATCATTTGTTGACAATATTAAAGGGTAAATTGAAATAAGAGAAATTTTAATCCTCAATTTAATAAATAAATTTGTGTAAAGAATAAAATCAGAGTTAAATTTGGCATTGTTCGATCATTTCCAATTAAGCTATATCAATTCCTCCATGAGCGTAATTCGATCAAAGACCATATTTGTCGGCCTCGCATCGAGATGATCGCAAAAATATAGCACATAGACGATTCCGATCATCAACTTCATTGTATCAATGAGAGATTCAATAAGCAGTAAAAAGAGAAATGATACGAGATGCCGCTTTCGCGGCATTTACTGTTGGAATGAATCATTCTTTTTTTCAAGATCACTTTTTATGAGTTGAAAGAAAGAAGCACTATCGCGTTATTAGTCACACGATTATAAAACATTGCAAAATACATATGTTGAAGATATATTGTTGAAAGTATAGCGTAGCAAAAGGCGTATAAAAGTAATGCTCGTACGCTATACAAAAATCCCATAATATTATTAATCGTTTGAATTAAATTTTTATCTGCTATTTTATACAAAGTTGTCGCTAACTCTTTATCTAGCACAGAGAAATATATCTTCCTCTCTGTTTAAACATTTTTCTTTCTAAGTCCGTCTTACCGCATTTCGTAAATTTCTTTAAAGACTGTGAGAAGTGAATGTTAGTATCTAAAACAAGATTTTGTAATTGTAATAGCAATGCAATTTATTTTGACATCTATATTATTTTAATTTATATAATTAGAAATTTAATTATGTACAAATATATACAATTATATATAGAATTATTGTAGGGAAGATATACAATTATAGCAAAGTATTAAGTAGAATATAATATAGTTCTTTTACGATCCAAAAAACCTAAAACTCACTGAATCGATTGCTTAAAAGTAGACTAACGAGTAAACCTACGGAAGTGTTGCTCACCGATTTTCATGAAACTTTGCACATTTGTAGAACTATGAAAAATATTTGATACATACTTTTTTTATCGGCAAGGTTTGCTCTGAAGGATTGAAACAACCCTTTAAATGTAACTGCTTGAGAAACACCAAAATTCAAATTTAACATTTTTTTTACAATACTTCCATACCCTACAAAGCCGAACAGAACATTTTTTTATATATTTGGTGGCCATATTGGATCGGCCATTTTCCATAATATTAACATCAAATTTAGTTTCAGCGATCCCAAAAACTCGTTATAAGTATTTAATTTCTTGAAACATTCAATTTATTCCACCTGGTGCATAAAATCCATTCTCTACATTTAAAGGATAGTTTCAACCCTCCAGAACAAACCTTGGGTGATAAAAAAAAAATACGTATCAAATATTTTTCATAGTTCTACAAATGTACAAAGTTTCATTAAAATCGATGAATGACACTTCCGTAGGTTTACTTGTAAGTCTCTGATAATTCTTATTAATATTTTATAAATAAATATTTTAAAATACATTTTAATAGACTTGCGATTACAGTCATCAATCGTATCCATTATTATAAAGATTTAACGTGTAACATTCATCTTTGATTATTGATGTAATGTTATTTGAATTCTCCATCCTCATGATTTTGAGGACTCTTTCGTATACGAGTTTTGGCGCATCCTTAGCAAGTATAAAGTCTACGTGATTGAAATTGCGCCACGGTACTTGGTAAATATCCACTACGTTGGGCAGTAAATGGTACAACCTCCTTATATGCTTGAAGAAATATTTTTGTAAATTATAACATGCGATTTTTTAAAATTATCTGTTCAATTCTATGTGCAAATTTCTATGTACTTGCACACAATTAATGTAAAATAATCAATACGTGTTTTTTTTATATTTATTATAACTATATTCTTATTATCTATTTTTTCGTTATTTACCATGGTGTTATCCAACAAGTCGCCAGGGCCATAAAATAACGCGATCGGAATCGTTATATTTGTTAGATTGTACTCCGGAGGTTCTATCGAATTATAGATCAGTATGTTTTTCGCACGACCATAATCGTATTGACGAAATTTGCCCGATTGAAATAACTGTATATAATGCACCCCTATATTAAACGAACCGCCGGCTGGGAAATGACTCAATATCAACGGCAGATGCTATAAAAAGCAAACAAATGTTAATAAATTAAAACTAATAAAAACATACGTACAAAGTTTAATCTAAAGCGTGATCGCTCTAATCGAACATGATGATCGAAGCTTCGATCATCATGATATAAAATTGTACTTCGTTTGCGATATGCATACATTTGCGAAATTATTACTCACGTAATCAAGCTGCTCGTGATCGTAACCGAAAATTATAGAAAACAAGTTGACGTAGATATCTTTGAGTATGTTCTGCTCGCTGCCATATATTAAAAAAGATCTCACAAAATTGCTTAGCAGAAATTTGTGAAAAAAAAATCCCATTATCATCTGAAATAGAAGATTTATTAATGATAATTTACTTGTAATTATGTCTTTCTTTAGATTTCGACAGTAATAATAAAAAAATAAATAAATAAATTTCTAAGCATTTTCTCTTATAAGATTGAAATAATTTATAAAAATTTCTTTAATTATAATTTTAAATTATCGAAAAATTTCTCGTTAACATTTAAAACTACAATTGTGTACGAGGCAATCAGAAATAAGATATATAATGTTAAGAAGATATTTACGTTTGATTTTTTCTGCATTTTTTCGAAAGATCCAACATAGATATCTTCTAAATTTTATTCAAATAATGAAATGCACATTTTATAAAATAACTTTCTTTAATCTTTCTTAAATACACATAGAATGTAGTATAGTTCCCGTATTATTCTTAATGACAGAGAAAATTTTCTGTTAAATTTTTTAACGTATAACATTAATTAATCACAAATTAAATTTATATTAAAATAAATTCCATTCAGGCTTTAATATTATTTAAAAATGTAATTTGTATTATTTGATTACTTTAATTGCATCTAAAATTAAAGAATTATTTATGTCACTCTATTTTTTCACTTTAAATTATATAGCGTGCATCGTGTAAGAACGAGATGTAAAATAATTATTTTTCTTTGTTTTGCTAAAAATATATTATTTCATATAATTATTACGTAATAATAAATTATTTTAATTAATTAATAGTATTTTACTTTGTAATCTTTCAAGAAAAACAAATATTGTATCGGACTTGTCATATGGTTAAGAAAAACTGTTGGTGCGAGACTCATCATCACTTTCACCATTTGAGCGATTTCCGGACGTTCTGTCGCCATTATATAGAAACAAGTTGAGCCCATAGATATACCAATGTAGGTATGCAATGGTTGCGATCTCATATTTGTAATATATGTAATCATCGTGGGTAAATCGTAGATGCCCAATTCGTTAAGGCTAATCAAAAATTAACCGATATAGAGTCATAAAATATGCAAATATGCATTATATATCATAATATATAGTATAGTCATAATATATAGTCATAATATATAGTATAGTATAATATATAATAAAAATATATTCTCACATATATGTAATATAATGATTATATTTATGTAATATGAGACGCATGACAAACAAACTACAGATTTTGATATTTTTATATTTTTTATCTAGAAACAAACATCTTTTTCCTTTGGAAAATTTCCGAAGCATGCAACATTTTCGAGATAATTATTTTTTATGTGGAAATATAGAGCGTTTTCTGGTTCTTTATATGAACACTTTATATAAAATTCGTAAGAATTTTAATAATTAAGTAAAATATTAAAATTAATTATAAGAGAATTGTCGAAATTTATTCGAACACATAAATGGAAGAAAATGCAAAATTATTATATTAATCTATTAAAAATTATATTAATATATTAAAAAATAAGGTATTTCGAAAATTTATTTTTTTTGTCCAAAAGAAATATGTATCTTATTAACAAAAAAATATAATCTACATATCTGTTTTCTATCTATACTTTGTATGCTTATAATCTATTATATAGAGACTATTTCTAGATCAATGCAATCTAAAATAATTGCACACAGATATATATAAGTAAATAAAATATATAAATAAACATATATAAGTTCATCAGATCTTTATGTATGACGCCAAATTAAATTAAATAATTATCATTATAAAATTTTTTAAATATCATTATTTTTATTTTATGCGAATACCTGAAATCCCAAAATGTCAAGTTCGACGGAGATAGGGAAATATGCGCCCTGGAGTAAATATTACCACGAAAATTACCCAACCAAACATCATATCTGTGATCCGCTAATATATAAGCTAAAATGCCAAAAAGAAAAAACAATATCTTGCAACGTTTGTTAACATTTCTATCTTCTCATATATAATATTCTCATATATATTTTACGATATGTTTATGTGCTAATATTTTTTCAATAATAAATTAAAATTCTATTGATGTGTAATTTACTAATTATTGTCTGATAAGTGAAATATATAATTGTAAATATATAACATGCAAATATATAAAATATAAGTATGTCATGAATAAATAAATAAATAGACAAATAAATAGATAAATAAATTTAATAAATTAATAAAATAAAATAAATAGATAAATAAAATAAATAGATAAATAAAATAAATGCAATAGATAGATAAATAGATAAATAAATATACATGTGTATAAAATCTGATAAATGTAAAAAATTTTCAAAAAATAAGATGCGTTAAAAGTTGTATTATAATTAGAATGCATTGGCAAATTTTTTTTCGACATTTAAATTCCGATGTTTCTCTTAAACTCCTTATTTTCTCCTAGCTTTTCGTTTTCCGTTAAAAGCCAACAATATAATTTCTTAAATATATATATATATATATATATATATATATATATATATAGAAGAATTAATTAAAAGAGCGTTACCTAATCCTTTTTTTTTACCAAGAAAAATCCAAGTAGCGGATGTTCCAAGAAAGCCGGTTTGCAGTAGTACGGTAGAGAGCCATTATCACCTGGGATACGATGTAATGTTAAGAGATATCCATCCTCGGTCGTTGTAATATGAGTTTTCACGGGATAACCCGCTTTTCTTATCATCTCAGATTGAAGAAAGAATATCACCAAACAAAGAGGTAGTGAAGTTAATCTAATGTTACAATACATTTACGATAAAGTGTGTATAATATTTATTCTCGAAATGATGAAAGAGATTATAATATTTTTATAATACTAATAATATAAATATGAAATATTATTATGTAATTAATATAAAAAATATTATATATTATAATAACAAATGTACACATGAGATACAGAACAAAATCAACTAAATATTAATCTAATTAAATGTATAATTATAAGTTGTATAAATTATAGGAAGATTTTTTGCATGATAAATTAGAAAACAATGAAAATTATTTTAAAATAACATTGTAAAAGATTATATTATTATTTATAGATCATTTTTGCACCATTACAATTAAAATGAAAAATTTAAAGATAAAACTTAAAAATAAAACAATTAAAATTTAAAGATAAAATTTAAAAATAAAACAATTAAAAGATATATAGAGCGCAGATCGAGATGACAGTACAGTACAATAATTCAGTCGGTATATGCAGTAAAAAATAAAATTAGATATAAAACTGACAATAAGTATAGCGAGATTAAAATTAAGAGTGTGAAAACTATAATATGTAACTGACTATTAAAATAGAGCCAACATATTTCAAAGAGAAAAGATATTCGTTTTATAATTATTTTATATAAAGATAAATAAATATAAAGAAAGATATACGTTTTATAATTATTTTTAATAAAGATAAATAAATATAAGGATGTTATGTGTTTGTACAAAATACTTAGAACCAAAGAATTTACAGAAGTTTATCGCAATATTTCGAAGATCAAAGGAAGAAAAACATTTGATGTACACTAATTTTATATGCAATTATGTAACATTTAATTTACATAGACGTCATCGAATAACATGTTATTAAAGTTTGCTTCAATTCTAATGATATACAAGATAAATTTAAAATATTCTTGAAAATGTACAGTTTTTGAAAGAAAATTAGTTCGAAAAATGATATATTATCTCATTAAGATTGTCAACATTTATAAATGTTATAAAATTTAATATCACTGATTGTCGTTATTTATATATAAATAAAACTGCTAACTGTCTTTTATTAAGAGATATTTTACTTTCTTTGGTTTCTATATGCATTTAAAAATAAGCAAATTAATTTCAGCAATTTTTCTTTCTGTGTGCGTGCATGTGTGTGTGTGTGTGTATGGGCAAGCATAACGTTTATATGCTCAAATTTATTTAATTTTACAAATTTATTTAATTTTACATATTACTGCATATATTTAAAACAAAAGAATTTTATAATAATTAAACGATACTAACAATTGAATTTAAAACAGCCTTCAAAAGTAAAATAAGATTTAAATATTCTTGCAGGCATAATTAACGATGATGTATATTTTGTGAAATGTAAATTTAAATTTTCACTAAAAGGGCAGCGATAAGATCGTTTCCGATTATATTTGACAACGTTGAAGAAAGCTATTTAAAATAATAAAAATTTCAATCCTCATTTCAGTGAGTTATAAAGACACCACTTACCGTATCGAAAACTACGTCGCGATTGACTTTGATATTGTTCGGCCAAATCCAATTAATCCAAGATATTCTCTCCATGAATGCACTTGGCTCGAGTTGATTCACATCTACCAGTGTAGAATCAAGATAATAACCACAAAACAATGCCAAATACACGATCCCGATTAATTTCACACCATTAATGAGTGCTTGAATGAATAATAAGAAAAAATGAACGATGTGCAAATGTCCCAATGTATAAGAATACATATTATATTATATTATGTGTGTATCATAAAGAAAATAAATAGATTGTGCGAGAGTGACGTATATACAAATTTCAATCAATTTTTTTAATCCAACATGTATCATTCAAATTTGCACTAATCACTAATTATAAATAACATGAAAATATTACTAACTGTAAATAATATTAAAATATAATTTATCATTGAATTAGCGATTACGCCACCGCTAAAATTTAACACAATATTTATCTTTCATTATAATTCAATTGTCAATAACATCTCACTAATTTAATATTATTTATTAGATTTGCAGACGAAATGAATTTGTCTCATGGTCACTATTTTGCTTATTAATTGTAACGGATCGTACGATTGCGTTCTTGAAGATGTTAATTAAATTTCGAATTAAATTAAGGTGGAATTAAAGTAAATAAACATTCCTTAGAAATATTGTCGCACACTGACACACAGTACACTCGCGAATACGCACTGGCTATTGCCCTCGTACTGGCATCGAAGAAATTAACATTGAACCTCTCTCTTTCGATCGTACTTGTATTCTCGTTTGTATTTGCACTAATTTTCCCATTCCGTATCTATCGACACGCATCAGCGCATCATGTCAGGTTTTTCCCACCTTCGACCACTTCTTATCTAATATTTAAACTTCGCACTCGTATCGTTACACTGCAGCTTTATAAAGCGAACACCGCGGTTATTACACCAATCAATTCCTCTCATTATTTTTTACATAAAAATATTAAAGTAAGGTAATCGAAAAATAATATTTTACAAAATATTTTATGGTTTATGTATTAAGAAACAATTTTAAGCCTTATAACTCGGAAAGTACTTAATGAAAACTAATTTAATTATAGTGTTCTGGGAAGATCTCGAGATAAGCTATAAGAATACGTAATAAAGAATAGGCAGTTCTATTTAAAAAATTGAGGGTGACTTTGACGTGATCTTCAAGTAACTATTTATGGTCAAATTAATGACACCATCATATGTCTCCTTTAAAACCATATAACTTTTGTCTAAAACATTTTTTCGTATCTCGCATATTTTTCAAAATATTTGTCTGTTAAAATTAAAATGAATCACCCTGTATATGTCCAATACACATATAGGGTTTCTTCGCATTCTTGAAAAATAATCCTTGAGTTTCCAATGATTCCACCAAATTATAAATTATTACATTTCTCGCGCGATTGGAATATATTATTAATTATTGTAATTTATTGTTATATATATTATTATTATTATTTTGATTATTATAATTTATTATTAATATGCGAAACTTGACCTTCTAAATATTGCGCACCAAGATTAGTAAAGATGTCGACGAGATTACGACTCAAAATGTCAACTTCAGAATATATTAATAACGAGTAGAAACGATTTGAAGAATTTTATAATAATTAAACATATATATAATTTTATAATAATTAAACATATACTAACAATTGAATATTAAAATAGATTTAAAAATTAAAAAAGATTTAAATATTATTACAGACATAATTAACAATGATGTATATTTTGTGAAATTTAAATTCAAATTTTCAAGCGGCGATAAGATCATTTCCAATCATATTTTTACAACGTTGAAGAAAACTATTCAAATAATAAAAATTTCTATCCTAATTTCAATAAGTTCTAAAGACACACTTACCGTATCGAATACTACATCGCGATTGACTTTGATATTGTTCGGCCAAATCCAAGATATTGATTTATTCTTTCTCGTGGATTATATTGGCTCGAATTGATTTTGACATCTATCAGTGGTAAGGAAGGGGAAAATAAACAGCCAAAAAAAAACCAAACATTTCAAATCTTTCCTCTTTTCCCCC